CAACAAGAGCAAGATCCTGTTTCTACTAAAAATAGAAAGAAATTGATTGGCCAACTAAAAATATATAGAAAAAATTAGCCAGGCATGGCGATGTGTGCCTGTAGTCCCAGCTACTTGGGAGGCTGAGGCAGTAGGATTGCTTGAGCCCAGGAGTTTGAGGTTGCTGTGAGCTAGGCTGACACCACAGCACTCTAGTCCGGGCAACAGAGTGAAAAAAAAAAAAAAAAAAAAAAAAGAATATACAGCAATTAAAATGAATCATGACAAAGATCAGAGGAATAAAGGGTAACCCCCAGATAAATGGAGTATGGCAAAGAGCAGGGCTTTAGAGGCACACACATCTGGGTTTGAACACCAGCTCTCCTCACTTACAAGTAGTGGGTCCTCAGGCAAGATATTTAATTCCTTCAAGTTTATCTCCTCAAATACACTGGGGATTGTAGTGCTCATTAACTGTGCTCACACAGATGATATATGAATGTGCCTTACACAGCACCTGGGCACATAATACACCCTTTATCAATGTGAGCTCCCTCCTTTTAGAAGTAATTTAAGCTTGATTGGTAGAACTGGAATAAATTGCTTATCTTGAGGTTCAAATGAATACTTTTGGACCTGTACTATATATAGGGAACTGTGTGAGGCACTTTACTTATTATGGCTATGCAGAAAGGCAAATAATATAAGTAGAGATATTTCTCTTACAGGTGAAATTCTCTACATTTTTTCAACACCCATTTTTTGGTCTTGGCTGTCAGTAAGTGTGACTGGTTCTCTCAATCTGTGAACACAACTCAATAATTGACAACTCAGCTTGCTAATTCTTGTACCTAGCAACGGGTCTCATGAGAGCTCAATAAATGCTTATTGAATTGAATTAAACTGATCCTACTGGGAATCTGAAATGATAATTTCACTAAAAGTATGGGCATTTTGAGTAGGGAGTTTAGTTTAATAAAAAGACCATTCATTGCCCATTTGGAAATACTGTAAATATGAAAGTAACTGAAGAGTTTTGCAAGTGCATTCTTTTATTTTTCAGCAGTTTACATTTATTTCATTACAAAAATCCATTATTTCTTTTCTTTGAAATTAGCTCAAGGCAACAAACAGATTTTCATATTTCAAAAACAAAGTCCATTGGACTGTATGTACTATGAGGTAGTACTGAGGCAGCTAGGAACCTAAATACCATACAAAAGGTTAAAAATATTTAATCTGCTCGCCTTTCAGCCACGTTACTCCGCCTGGTTTTCACAATGAGTGGAGACAGAATTTATTTCTATGCAACTCTTACAGATGCTTACGCTTTTAAGGAGGCTGTACAACAAAGCAGACTGTCAGTTTGCCTTTGTATTATTACACAATGGTTACAGGAAGTGGCTGAAAACAGGGAAGTGATGTAAACATTGTCAGCTATAGTTTGAAAATCTAAGAAAAAAAGAATAGAATAAAAATAAATTAACCTCAAACAAAGGTCTATAGATCTCTGACCCTGTAGTCACACTTCTGAGAATCTATTTTTAAAAAATCCCCAATATGGGAGAAAGAAATAAATATAAAAATGTTTTATAGAGTATTATTTAGAATAGTGAAAATCTGGAGGCAATCTAAATATTGAACCTATAAGGGAATATTAATAGTTAAGTGAATTAGCGTATACCTCCCTGATAAAACACTATTATGGACATTAAAAGAATCATAAAGGTCATCCAGCAACATGGACTGTTACATAAAAAATGTACAAAATTAACTTTATTATGATAAATATATTTAAAAAGAATAGCAGAAAGAGGAATACATACCAAAATATCATGTATACTGTAAATGTACATAATTTTTCACTGTCAATTTAAAAATAAATAAATAAAAGAGGAAAGAAATACACTAAATTGCTAACTGTGCTGTTATGATAATGGAGCTATTGATCATCTTCTCTCTTGTATTTTCTATTTTTTTTGTAATCTAGTTATATAGCTTTTTCTATTGTAAAATTAATATAATTTCAAAACTTAGGTTGTCAACTGAGTATGGGTTTTGAGTAAGAGAAGCAGGACAAGAGAAGGGCAGTGAGTAACAGCAGGCTGACTGGGTCACTGGCAGTGATATGGCCATGGAAGCCGCACGCAGGCTCGGTTACTCATCAACTGAGTAACTGTATCATAGACTGATCTCCTTTTAGAAAAATGTTGCTATATTCTGTGATTCTTTCCTTTTTTACTTTCCAATCCTATATTCTGTACCACAGCATGATACAGAAGGCAAAGAGTTATTAATACTCAAGGAAGTATAGTTCCTTCTTCATTCTATAAAGTAAATAGACTTTATACTTAAAAAAATGTATCTTCCATAAGGCACTTTTCAGTTATAAAGTTAATGTCTAACAGTAATATTAACCATGTTTTCCAGATGACTAATGCTTTTGTTGGCATCTATAATGGAAGAAATAATTGGGTCCCCAGAATGTGTATTCTGCTTCATGTTCCCCCAGCCAGTTAGCTGTCAGTGTGAAGAGATAGAACCTTTTCTAAATTATTTCAGTGCTGTTATTTAAAAGCAGATTAAATAAATATTGGGGTAAGCTATTCTGTGCCTATATCCCCGCTTTATTTATATTGTTGTTGCGGCAATGTGTACAGCTAGTGTTACAGCTCTTGACAGGGGAAAGAACCAAATGGCACACGAAGAGTCGGAGAACAGCTTTTATTCTTCCACATGAGGCTCAACACACTAGCATTATAAATCTCTTCTGTATCTTCCAATCTTTTGACCCTCTGCCCCTTCCTCGTTCTCCTCCTGCTTTTATACCCTTGGTAGGGCTCAAAAAGCAGCCAGTCAACTACAAGCTTTAACATCCAATCAACATCAAGCCTTAACATCCAATCAAAAACAGTGGGATTCAAAAATTACCCAATCAGGATCACGAAAGCAGCGTGGCCATAATCTAGGCGGCAGCACTTGGGGCCCTAGGCATTCCAGCACTTGGGGCCCCGGAGGCCACATGGGGGCCCCAGGCAGCTCTCTGCCACAGGGCCCAGCCCCAGCAGCGTGCCCTCCAACTGGCCACACACAGCGCTGTCGCGCGGAGATGCGGAGCAACGGGAGGCGGCAAGCAGCCGTGTCCCAGTGCCCGACATTTTCCGTATCACCTAGTAGATTTTCCACAAAATATAATCTCTCAGGTCAAAGACACAGGCTCCTTAAGACTGACTGGTGGGGGTGGAGAAGAAAGTGGGATGTGATTGCAAAATGTTCCCTTCACAAAGTATGTGACATGTCTCTAAATGAGCTGGTATCTTTGGTGGGTCTCAAAAATACCCAGTTTATTCAATACTTAATATATGCCACTGTAGTAAGTGTTGGCACATCTCCTTCATTACTTTCCTTCATATTCAGAGGCTCTTTTTAAATTCCTGTTAAACTTCAAGGATTATCTCAAATGAGATTTCCTTCATGAGGCAATCTTTCTTCCCTATTCTTCTAGTTGATACTGAGCTATTCTGATAGCATTTCAAAGGATCATGAGATTCTGGAGTTGAAGGGGACCTTAGAGTCATCTAACCTAACTTATTTTCAGAAACCTGAGAAAAGTGATGTTTTCCAAGGAGTGCTGGAGTCAGATAAACAATTTCAAGTTTGCTACATGGTAGCCTAGTCATACATCGCCTTGTATCACTAGGGTCTGTCTGCTCTCCAGCTTCTGTGTTCATCTCTAATATGCCCAGGGAGTACCCACAGTCAGGTGATATGTGCCTGCTCAGTTGATTTGGTTAGAAAGGTGCTACCCCAAGGAAAATCATCCGTTTGACTGGTTGGAAACAATGCTGTTGTAGAAGCCAAAAGCAATTTTGTGCCTGGAATTTGCTGTCATCAAAAACTCTACAACAGACCAATTTGAAGTGGATCAGAATCATGACCTTTAAAAGATGAAACAGGAAGAGATATTCCATGATATGGAGCAACTCTGTTCTAATGAAAGCAGGGAAGGCTCTTCCAATCCCCAAGTCAAGTAGGTGATGTATGCTTTTCCCCTCAGCTGCATTATCATTAATAGTGAAATAAAAATAGGCCTTCAATAGATTGTTTTTCCTTAAAATATACACCCACATGCAATCCATCCTTTTTAAATGTGCAAGTGTGTTCCCATTAGAAAATCAGAATGCTATGTGAAAAAACTGAGAAAACTTCCAGGAATGTTTCTAAACTTTGGCCAGTTTCTCTAGCAAAGATACCTTATATCTGAAGGGCACAAGCATTTTAAAGAGGAATTATGGATATAGTGAGAAGTTGGGAGATTAGAGTTTTAGCTTTTAGTTTGCCACTGTTCCACCCACCCACCTACCCACCCACCTATCTGTTCATTTCTTCCTTCAACAAATATTTATTAAGTATCTACTATGTGCTAGGCACTTTGCTGCACAGAACAGTGAACCAGGTAGATATGGCAATTACATTCTGGAGAGGAAGACAGACAATAAAGAAAAGAAAACAATACAGAAGACAAGTTCAAACTGCAATAAATACTACTAAGGAAATAAACAGAATGATAGAGTAATGGGTGGGGAGGTTGCAGCATCAATTACTTTGGTCTAACCAGTCTTAACTAGTATGGATGTTTATTTTCATTTACACTACAAAAGACCTCTGAGAACTTCAGAAATACTAGATTAAGTTTTCAATTTCACTACTTCCAGACAAGAAGCATATATATTCCATGAATGGGATAGAGTTTGAAAGATAGGCATTGATAACCCAATTAGTGATAAAACATCCTTTGCTGCTCATTTAAAAAAGCAACACACTAGAGTTTTTTCCTCTCTCTTTCTTTTCCTGCAGTAGGTTTAAATCAATTAGTGCTAGATTGAAGAAAAAACCCCAAATTACTAGCTAACCATTATCTTAAAAAAAAATTTTGGCTGTTATTAAGTTTGGCTATAGAGTCAAAGAATGGCATTTTTCAATGAAAGTCAGTATATCATATTCAAGAAAAGAAACTGTACCGAGTGTAAAGTGCCATTACTGGTCACGACAGGAGGGCGGGCCCATCGCTCATTTTCTAGTTCTTCCATTACTTGGTTCATGGCACTCTTTAGCCACGTGTCCACAGAAACACCAATCTGCTTTAGCAGGTCCAGCCGGGCTTCAGCTTTCAACTTAATTATCTAAGAGAACCAAGAAAATGGTCAGAAATCAAGGCATTTTTTTTGCAAATTAACTGTTATTCCTGATTTATTAATTAGAACAATCTTGATAATCACCAGCAATTCTGCCTTGATTTAGATGCTAATTTTATACTTGGAAAAGAGGGAAAGAGAGGAAGAAGGGGGGGAAGAGGGAAAAGAGAGAGAGAGAGAGACAGACAGACATGAACACAAGAACAGGAATTAGGGACTCCTGACGACAGCAAATATCATACTTGCATTTTGGTAAGAGCACAATATTGATGATACATCAAATATAACTTAAAAGAGATTAATGTGCCATAAAGTCTGATTTCTTTTCCTGTTTTTAAGGATATGCCTCAGAACATCCTGAAATCCAGCATTTGCAGTAGCTTTCTAACTCATTTCCTGGACTTTTTCTTCTCCTCTATAATTCATCTTTTACAATCTATGAATGACCTCATCATATCAGTCCCCTACTTAAAAACTTCTATTACCCCTGACTGTCTACTAAGTAAAGAATTAACATATTCTTAATTTGGAATAAAATATCTTTCACAATTTGGCTGATTTACTTCCTTCTACTACTTCTTTCCACATACTCTATGCTCCCATACCACTGTCCTACTCACTGTTCCTCCAATACATCACGTGCTCTCATGCCTTTGTTCATGCCAGTTCCGCTGTGTACAATGCCTTTTCATTCCTTTTTGATGCCTGGTGAACTCTTATCTTTCAAGAGTCAGTTCAAATATTAATATTATCCTTTCTACAAAGATTTTCCTAAGTATTCCTCTTCCTTCCTTAGGCAGTTAATCATTCCCTTCTCTCTGCTCCTAAAGCATTCTATTAATATATAGATCCAATTATAATGTGATAGGCATTAGATTATACTTAGCTGTTTAAGAAAACCTTTTTGATATAACTGAGAGCTCCCTTATGACTTGAGCACCATACTCAACACTATTCTCCTGTTATGTGTTCAGTAATCTTTTGTGAATACCTACATAAAAGCGATTCTGCTTTTCCAAGAAAATATTTTACCAACAGACTCTACCACTTCAGTTGAAATTAACCTTGAAAAGACTACCTTCAATGATACTGAGTTATGAAATATTGTTTCCCTTTAATAATAATTTTTAATATTAAAGGGGTTCTCTTTAATAATTCTAACATTCTTCAGCACAAGCTTAAAGAACTTCCCCTTTGACTTGGCCATCTTTTGTTGATTAACTTGTTTTTTGATTAACAGTAAAATCTTTTTGCTTTTAAATTAAATTATGATACAGCTGTCAAAAATAGTAGGGACTGAGAATAAAAGGTTCCTATTCTCCAAATTCAAGAAAGGGAATGTTGGCTATTCTTTAAAAACCTGTCCTGATCAAAATTAGGTGCTTTGCTCCAACAGCAATGCCTCTGAAAGTCAGCCAATCAGTGATAGCACCATCCTTCTGAAAGGCAGTCAACTGCAGTCTTACTCCAATAATCAAGCTTCTACTTCTGCTTTTGATAATCCTCCAATCTCTAACTATCATGGCTAACAGCGAGCCAATCCCCAAAACATCCCCAGTTTTGAAAACCTGCCAATCCAATCCCTATACCAGTTTTTGCTTTGTTGAAGGAGAATGTGTTTTGTATTATTCTCTTTTTCTCAATAAAGTAATAAATTCAGCTTCATTGTTTCACATATTAGAATGGTGGTCCCTTTCTTAACATTTAAGTTTCCACTGAATTAATTTTTAGGACTCTCACTTAGTGGCTTTCTGTGGGACTCTCTCTCTTTTTTTTTAATCACATACACTAATAAAGTTTATTGTTTTAAAACATGCTTTATGATTTTCTTTTTAATCTTGCTCCCTAACTTTAGAAACAAAAGAAGATCTACATCTAATGTCCATGGATAATTTTAGTTTTATCGTTTTTGCCAAGTCTCAAAAGTAGTAATGAATAAAGCAGAGCTCTTGTTGACATGAAGTTTATCTCTTGCTAATGTAAAGTCCATATATTTATTGGGTGCTAGAGCAGTGTTTTGACACTCCCAAGAACATTAACTGTAAGAGGGAAAGGTGACCAGGCAGCAGGGTACTGAAAAGCTTTTGGTCCAAGGTTGCATTTTTTTTAAAGTGTCTTGTCTTTTGTTGCTTGCAAATAAGATCTTCAAATTTTCTGCGTTTTAAGAGTTTCTGTATTGATATTTTCATCATGGGGGAAAAGAGTGGAGTGTCTGCAGCAAGGTCGGGGAGGGAGAACTACTCTCTCACTCAGCTGAGAGTGAGTTGCCTTTCGATCTTTCTCCTAGGCAGAACACAGCCACAGGAGCCACTGAATAGGTGATGTCTAACAAATTCATACTTTTGGTTCATCTGAAGTGACTGCTATACTTACCCTGACTTCCAGGACTCTCTCCTGTCACCCTTTCTGGTTTTTCTCCCATCTCTCTGGCTAATCCTTCCCTGTCCACCTCTTACTGTGAGAGTGTCCTGCATGACTCATATTCACCTACTCTGTGGCTCTAAAGATAGTCAATCAGAATTGACTCCCATTGGATGTCTTCAGTCCAGACCTCCCTGCTGAGTGCAGATGTTCCTCCACCCTGCCCTCCTGATTCCTGTCTCTGAACATGCCTAATAGGTATCTCAAATGCAACATGTCTAAAGCAACTCTTTTTTAAAATTTCAAAATATTAAGGGGGTACAAATGCTTTTGTTACATGGGTAGCTTTTGTAATGCTTGAGTCAGGGCTATTCTTAATGTGCCTATCACCTGAATAGTGTTCACTGTACCCATTAGTATGCCCCTCCCCTTCTCTCTCCTCCACTCTCTGTGAGACTCTTGGACAAACAAGTGCACTCACTGATCCCTTTGATACACAATTTAGAATACCCTCTGGATTCTCTGCTTGGGAAACTGGTATCAAAGATGAATCTGTGCTCTGACTGGAGTCACTGGGATTTCAATGCTGAATTAATTTTGTTATCCTAAGATTTTAATCATATAGATTTTTAGAAATTGAGATAAAATTCACATTATACAAAATTCACCATCTGGCCAGGTGCGGTGGCTCCAGCCTGTATTCTTAGCACTCTGGGAGGCTGAGGCAGGAGGATCACTCAAGGTCAGGCGTTCAAGACCAGCCTAAGAAAGAGACCGCCCCCCATCTCTACTAAAAATAGAAAGAAATTAGCTAGACAACTAAAAATATATAGAAAAAATTAGCCAGGCATGGTGGCGCATGCCTTTAGTCCTAGCTACTTAGCAGGCTGAGGCAGAAGGGTTGCTTGATCCCTAGGAGTTAGAGGTTGCTGTGAGTGAGGAGGCTGACGCCACAGCACTCTAGCCCAGGCAACAGAGCAAGACTCTGTCTCAAATAAATAAAAAAAATAAAATAAAATTCACCATCTTAACCATTTTAAAGTACACAATGGGCTTGGGTATCATATAGATCTTTATATAACATAATTCGAGTTTTTAGCTTACAGGCATACCATTTAGTAAATACTTTTGCAAAAATCTGTTTATTCTTTTCATAATTTCTCTTTCTTTGGTAAAAGCCTTATTGACCACACACTTCACTCACTTCAAGCCTGCAATTCAATAGTTTATGCCAGGCGTCCTCAAACTATGGCCCGCGGGCCACATGCAGGTGTTTTTGCCTGTTTGTTTTTTTACTTCAAAATAAGACATATGCAGTGTGTATAGGAATTTGTTCATAGTTTTTTTTAAACTATAGTCTGGCCCTCCAATGGTCTGAGGGACAGTGAACTGGCCCCCTGTTTAAAAAGTTTGAGGATTCCTGGTTTATACTATATTCATAGTATATGCAACCATCGATGCCAAAAAAAAATTTTTTTTTAGCAGAGGAACAGAAGTCAGAATGCAAAAAAATTTAGAACATTTTATCACCTCCAAAAGAAGCCCCATACTATTGAGCTACTGCTCCCTTATGCCCCCATTTTCTGCAGCACCTGACAACCACTAGTCTACTTTCGGTCTTCCTCGATTTACTAATCTGGAAATTTAATATATATGGAATCATATAACATGTGGTCTTTTTTGACTAACTTCTTTCTCTTCTTTCTCTTTACTATGTTTGCAAGATTTATCCATGTTCTAACATGTTTCATTATCTCATTCCTTTTAATGGTCAAATAACATTCTATTATATGCATATACTTTTGTTTATTCATTTGTCAGTTTATGGACATTTAGGTTGTTTCTATTTTTTAGCTATCATGAATAATATTGCTATAAACATTTGTGTACAAGTTTTGGTGTGGACATATGTTTTCATTTCTCTTAGGTATATACCTAGTACTGGCATTGCTGGGTCATAGAGTATGGTAAGTTTAACCATCTGGGGAAATGCCTGACTGTTTTTCAAAATGGTTATACCATTTGATCTCACCAGTAGGGTATGAGGGTAAAGACTTAATGTCTGCTTTTGATTCTACCCATCCTAGTGGGTGTGAAGTGGTATCTCACTGTGGTTTTGCTTGCATTTTCTTGATGACTAATAAGGTCAAGTATCTTTTCATGTGCGTATCGGTCATTTGTATATCTTCTCAGAGACAGGGTCTAGCTCTATCACCCAGGCTGAAGTGCAGTATGCAATCATCGTTCACTGCTGCCTCAAACTCCTGGGTTCAAATAATCCTCCCACTTCAGCCTCACAAAGTGCTGGGATTATAGGAATGAGCCACTGCACCCAGCTATTATTATAAAAATTGTTATGTATTCTAGTAACAGGCCCCTTATTAGATATGTGATTTGCATATATTTTTTCCCATTCTGTGGGTTCTTTTACTTTCTTGATAGTGTTCTTTGAATCATATTAGTTTTAAATGTTGATGAAGTCCAATTTATCTAATTTTCCTTTTGCTGCTTGGGCTTTTGCTATCACATATAATAAACTAATCAAAGGCCACAAAAATTTACCACTATGGTTTCTTGTTAAGAGTTTTATATTAGCTTTAGCTGTCATAAAAATTAGGTGTAGAAATTAGGTATAAAAATTAGATGTAGGTGTTCATTTTGAGTTAATTTTTGTATGTGATGTGAGGTAGGGGGTGTTAAAATAATTAACTGGGAAGTCATTAGACTGAGGCAGCTCCAGCATCCTGGGTTCCTAAGTTACTAACTAGGGACTTTCTACTGGAATGATGCAAATAAGCCTACTGCTCCACTTTAACCAATCAAATATTTTATGTGTTTTGTTTCCAAGTTCACCCTATAAAACTCTTTCCCTTGTGTTCCTTTGGCAGAGCCTTGAATTGTTACTTTAGTAGGGAATCAATAATGGTAGATAATGATATTTGCCATCTTTAGTATCTGAAAATAAAATACTCCAAAAAAGCCCATTTTTCTTATATGTATTAGGAACTATATTTTTATACTATTTCATGAAATCACAAAACAATTCTGGGTGGATATCATAAACTCCATTTTACACATGAAATGGTTTAATTAAGGTCATACTGACTGTGGAAAATTGTTATATTAATGGTTCCTAAAGAATTATGCTTCCTGGTATTCATATAGTCCCCTCCCACCTTGATTCGGGCTTGTCCATTCATTTTCTGTGGATAATGAGGCATTTGCCAATTTGATAGAAACAGAACCTCCTTAGTAAGTGCTACTAGGACCTGACTTTTTAGAATATGCCACCATCATGTGAGGAAGCCAAGTTTCAAATCTTTGGGGATGAAAGACCACATGGGGAAAAAGCCCAGCCATCCCAGCTGAGTCCCACTCTCCATTTGACTCTCTGGCTGAATGAGTGGCTTGAGTAATCTCAGGCAAAAGCAGCAAAATAAATGCACAGTCAATATCCAGAATGGTGACAGATACTAAACCATTGTTGATTTTGCCATAAAGTTTGGGGTGAGACATTGTGTTGTGAGAATTTTACTTTATATTTTTAGTTTTAAAGTAACAAACAGTGTCTAGTTTAGCACATTCATGGAAATAGTAAGTCATTCTGCCTAAATGAAGACTCTGTGCGACTGATTCCTACTCCTGCTACTACTGGGGATGGGAAGGGCATTTGGTGGAGTTAGAGTACCAGACGTTGACACCATGGATGGAGGCTGGAAATGCAAAATACAAGAAATACCCTTCAGAAAACTTCTGAGACTTGTCTCAAAATAATTACTCCTGTTCCACACCAAGGTCTGAAACTGGCTTCATCCAGAGTGTGGAGAAACAAACAGGAAAACCTTTTCTATCACAGCCCAGTGTTTCTCACACTAGGCAAGGGCTTGCCAATCGTACTTGGCCAGCACTGTAGGGTAGTGGTTTAGCTATGATCCTGAATTCAGAGAGGAAAATGGCATTCGTTGCATGCCCTGCCCTCGTCACTATGAGGCTGTGGATCAGACTGTGCCAGGAATGAAGAGGAGGTGGGGTTGCTGGGGTTTCTCTAGACCAGACAGATGGCAAGCCTGTTCTGATTCAGATCACTTCCATGGGGCTGTGCCAAAAACATGCTCATATTCCCTGTGCTTGCCTACGTTGCCTCTCTCCTTACCCCACAACCACTGAGGCACTTCCTCAAAAGCTGTAGAGTCCTGAAGGGGTGTGTGAAAATCACTAGTTTAGATTAACCCTCACCAATGCAAGAATTCCTTATATACAGTCCTTGACAGATGCTTGTCTCGAATCTTCTCACACACTTATGGTGTTGCACTATGTCCCCGGGGTGCTTATTTTGTCGCTGGGAAGATCTAACTGTTAGAAAGTATTTGCCAATACCAAACTCACCCCTGCCTCTTTCCTACCTTCATCTTTTGGTTCAATTTCTGATACAACTAATCTGCCAATATCAATCTTAAGTCTTCTATTCTGTGTTTCCTGCTCTGACAACTCCTCCCACGGTGATTGCTGTTGTCCTCCAGCTTCCTTAACTATATAGACCACTCTGAATCCTGCCATGTGGTGACACCAGGGCTTGGCACTTACACGTACTATCTTAGTTATCTTTGGCATTCTTTATGCCTTCTTTTTTTTTTTTTTTTTTTTTGAGATTTGAGACAGAGTCTCGCTTTCTTGCCCAGGCTAGAGTGAGTGCCGTGGTGTCAGCCTAGCTCACAGCAACCTCAAACTCCTGGGCTCAAGCGATCCTCCTGCCTCAACCTCCCGAGTAGCTGGGACTACAGGCACAAGCCACCATGCCCGGCTGATTTTTATATTATATATATTAGTTGGTCAATTAATTTCTTTCTATTTTTATGGTAGAGACGGGGTCTCACTCAGGCTGGTTTTGAACTCCTGACCTTGAGCAATCCGCCCGCCTCGGCCTCCCAGAGTGCTAGGATTACAGGCGTGAGCCACCGCGCCCGGCCTTATGCCTTCTTAATATCACTGCACCAGACCAATCTGGTTCAACTTTTTTTTTTGTTGTTGTTGAGACATAGTCTCGCTTTGTTGCCCAGCCTAGAGTGCCGTGGCATCAGCCTAGCTCACAGCAACCTCAAACTCCTGGGCTCAAGCGATCCTTCTGCCTCAGCCTCCAGAGTAGCTGGGAATATAGGCATGTGCCACCATGCCCGGCTAAATAGTTGGCCAATTCATTTCTTTCTATTTATAGTGGAGACGGAGTCTCACTCTTGCTCAGGCTGGTTTTGAACTCCTGACCTCGAGCAATCCGCCCGCCTCGGCCTCCCAAAGTGCTAGGATTACAGGCGTGAGCCACTGCGCCCGGCCTAGTCTCATTCATTTTAAAACGTCTATCTTCATATCCCTTCACCATTTTGCAGCTGAACAGAAAAACATGTATACACAGGTCCTCCATGAACTAGCCATACCACGATGAGTTTACTTACTTTCTAACACATTTCCTTACAAAAATTCTCTAATCATATCCAACTACCAAACTATGCCTGTGTCTTCCCCATTTGCTTATACTTTCTTGTTGCCCATCTCAACCTCCTCTCCTCTTGGGCAGGGAGTTATCAGCCCTGGGTATATGAACACTAGACATTCATACAAAATGTACATTTTTTTGTGGGAGCTTTCGTATAATCCTCAAAGGGTCCCATCTCCAAAAACCAATAAAATCCACTACTATAATTTTTTTTCCCTTTCTGCATAACCGAATCTTCCCCATTCCTAAAAGCCCAGTTCATGCCCGTAGATCCAAGGAATCTTCCAGGGTAGATTTCCTAGGCTCTGAAATTACATATCAGTTTCTCTCTAATTAATTTGACTAATTTATTATGTATTTCATGAAAACTTTAAAATTAGTATCTTCATTGTGACTTCATTCTTTTGTTATTTAATGTTTCATGATTGTAAATTCTTCACAGTGTATTCAGTGCCTTTTTTTACAGGTACTACCTTCTATAAAGCAGGTACTCAACAATACTACTGTGAATGAACACAAATGAAGATGGTGAATCATCTTCACCATAATCGGCGTAGAAACTCAGTTTTAAATGGGCGTATCATAGCTGTGACATTGTTGTTAGAGTTGGGCAAAATACCACAATCAGCTGCTGCCTTACCTCTGCTTTACGAATATTTTCTCTAGCTTCATCTATTTTCTGTTCCACCTCTGCTCGACTTTGTTCTGATACAGCAACTCCATGACATTCCAGATCATTTAAAACCTATTAAATAGGAAAATAATGAGTGGTTTTTCTTTTCATCTTCTTTCTTTAAGTGACTACAGTATTTAGATAATTCAAAAGGCTTTAGTGGCTAGTAGTCATGAATCCTTTTTTAAACCTTTAACTTTTTCATTTATTTGTTTTTTTAAAATTCTGAAATAATTATAGACTAACTAGTTGCAAAACTAGTACACATAGTCCTTCCACCTGGCTTCCTCCAATGGTAACAACTTATGTAACTACAGTCTAGTATAAAAACTAAGAAGTTGATGTTGGTGTAATCCATGGACCTTATTTGGAATGCACAAATTTTAACATGCATACCTTTAATTAAAAAAATTACATGAATATAGAGTATTATTGTAAAACAACAACTAATACAAAAATGACAGAAAGTCTCCATTATACCCTCACAATCCACCATGTTTCTTCCACCCCAAGCTAATTATTATCCCATCAATTTATATGCATCTTTCCAAACCATTTCTTTCTTATCTATTTCCATACATACTTGTACAAACAGAAAGCTTTGTTTAAAAAAACACAAAATGAGATATATAATCCACTTGATGTGTCTAAGAAATCTTTTCATGTTTTCTTTTTAATTAATCTATAGATTTAATAATTTAACAGTATCATATTTTATTTACTCTTACTCTCCTACTATTAAAAATTCCAAACTTCTCAACATTATAAATAGTACTGTACAACCTAGTCAATGACTCTTTGAACATCTATGAGAATATTTAAATAAAAACATGTAAGTGAAAATCGTACACTTTAATTTTAATAGACATTGCCAAATAGTCCACCAAAGGTTGTACCTACTCTTCTACTAATAGAGTATGAGAGTATGTTTCCCTATATTTTACCAACATTGGATATTGTCACTCTTTAAAACCCTGCCAATATATCTTTTAGAAAGATCTCATTATTTTCATTTTTATTAATATGTCTTTGATTAACAGACAGCATCCTTTCATACATTGCTGGCCATCTATATTTCTAATTCTATAAATCGGCAGCTCATATCTTTTTATCCGTTTTTATACTTTGTCTTTTTAGTTTATTTTATTGTAAGAATACAGTATATAATACATGTAACCTACAAAATATGTGTTAATTGACTGTGTTATCAGTAAGGCTTCTAGTCTTAGTCTAGTAGGCTATTAGTAATTAAGTTTTGTGGGAGTCAGAAGTGGTATGTGGATTTTCAACTGTGTGTGGGGTTGGTGTCCCTAAACCTGTCATTCAAGAGCCAACTGTAGTCTCAATTTGGGCTGGTCAGAACTTGAATGTGTCCCAAATCTATGTAAACCTGGGAATTACCCAGTTTATATCCCCATTGTCATTCTTTGCCCAGTCTCACAGAGTTTATCCCATGCATACATGGTTTAGTATTTGGCAACAGACTGAAGGGGAAACTCATGTAGAATTCTGAAACTCTTTCTCTGCATTTCCCTGCTGTCTGGTGCTCTGCCCTGCAAATTCATGCCTCTTCATGCTCTCTGAACTCTATTATCTCAACTCAGTGAGTCTGTGGTGCTCTGCTTGGGTTCTCCCTCCCTGCACTACACCGTGGAAAGGGCCTCCAGGCAGAAAACCTGGGAGGTCATCAGACTAACTTCATTTGTTTCCTTTCTCTCAGGCATCATACTCTTGTTATTGCTTGTTGTCCAATATCTGAAAACATTTGTTTCATACACTTAGACCAGTTTTATAGTTGTTTATACAGGAGGGCAAGTGTGACCTGTTAATTTATCATGGCCAAAAGAATTAGTTTTGTTGTTTAAAAAAAATCCTTCATTTTGTTGTTTAAAATATACCTTACTAGATTAAAGCCTATCATAGGTCATACTATAAAAGTGGGAAAAGTTGTTGAAATTTGTCTGTTTCTACTTCCCAACAGAAAGACACAATATGCTTGACAACAAAGTAAGGAAGCAGATTTATTTATTTATTATTATTATTTTTTTGAGACAGAGTCTTACTCTAATGCCTGGGCTAGAGTGCTGTGGTGTCAGCCTAGCTCACAGCAACCTCAAACTCCTGGGCTCAAGCAATCCTACTGCCTCAGCCTCCCGAGTAGCTGGGACTATAGGTGTGCACCACCATGCCTGGCTAATTTTTTCTATATATTTTTAGTTGGTCAATTAATTTCTTTCTATTTTTAATAGAGATGGGGTCTTGCTCTTGCTCAGGCTGGTCTCCAACTCCTGACCTTGAGCAATCCCTCCTGTCTCGGCCTCCCAGAGTGCTAGGATTACAGGTGTGAGCCACCATGCCCAGTCTATTTTTAAACTGAATGTTTACTTTCAAATATAGCCAAGCATTCTAGTGGAAAAACAATCTTTTTCTATGCTTTATATTTTGAGGTATAAAGCTACAGTAACTAATTTCACTACTATTTATTGTATGTGTGGGCGAACAGATAAGTTTTCACAAATTCTTTGACTGAGATAAATGTATTCGAGGAACTGTACCCAAGAAGCCTTGAATCTGATTTAAATGATAAGCTAGAGCCCAATACCAGGGTGAAGAGGTGAGTATATTTTGCATGCGAGAGGAATGGGAACAGTTATGGCTAAAAGGTAGGCTGCAGCAGACAGTGAATTTTACAAAATAGCTACTATAGTATTTCCCATTCCACATGTTTTTCTAGAACTTTGCTCTTTGTCCACCATGAAGTGGAATGTCTGTCCTCTCTCCCTGAAACTTGGATAGGCCTTTATGACTGCTTCAATTAGTAAAAATATGATACAAGTAAAATCATGTTATTTCTGAAGTTAGGTCAAAAGGATGATACATCTTCTACTTGTCTAACTCTTAGGACTCAAACTTGGGGCCCTGTGCTACCATTTAGGAAGTATAGCTAATCTGAAGCTGACATGTTGGAGAGACTGTGGGGAGAGAGAGAAAGAGAAATAGAGAGAGATAGAGAGAGGGAGGGAGGGAGGGAGGGAGGGGGAGAGAGAGGGAGAGAGAGAGAGAGATGGAGGGAGGGAGGGAGAGGGAGGAGGAGAGAGGGAGAAGGAGGGAGAGAGGGAGAGAAAGAGGGAGAGAGAGAGAGAGACAGACAGACAGACATACTCAGGAGGAGCCCCAGCTGCTCCAGTTCCCAGTTGTTCAAATCTTTCCAGCGTAGGCATCAGTGGGGAAGCCTGTGAGACGACACCAGGACCAGCTACTCAAGTGAAAACTGCCAAGCTGAGACCTCCTAATACTCAGAGTAGTGAGAGATAATTTTTAAAATGTTCTTGTTTTATGGCATTAAATTTGAGGTAGTTTGTTATGCAACATTAGATAAATGGGCCACTGAATCTGAGATGTCTGTGAGATTGTGAAAAGACATCAAAGCAGGCAAGAGGCCATATGGATATACAGTAACAGGGCCCAAGTTAGAGATACTAATTTATGATTTGCTGGTAGGTAAGTGGAACCATGGAGGTGGATGAGACTGCCTATAGTGAAAGTAAAGAGTAAGAAAAGAAGATGGCCTAGTACAGAAGTCTAAGGAATTTAAATACTTAATTGTAGGATAGAGAAATAGGAACCTATAGAAAACTCCAGGAATGGCCAGAGAGGCAGAAAGCCAGGACAACGCTGAGTCATGGCTGACTAGAGAAGAGAATGTTTTTAAGATAATAAGGAACTGTCAGTTGTGATGAAACTGTGAAAGGTTAAGAAAAATGAGAAATCCAAGTGTCCATTTTGGAACTAGCAACATAGACATCATTAGTGATTTTGGTAAGTTTAGTGGCAGAGAAAGCTGAAATGTAACAGGCTAAAAAATAAGTGGGAGGTGAGGATATTCAGATAAGTATAGACAACTCTAAGAAGCTGATGTAAAGGCAAATAAAGAGAAGGATATAGGTACAAATAAATGAAATTGACAAAAAATGTACTATACTTAAAATAATTTCTTTGTGCTTAGAATTTAGTCTTAAGGATATATTTTCATGGAACCTACAACTGTATCTTCAAAAAACTTGTCCTGGGGAATGAAAACTTACATTAATTTAACATATGTATGTCTGTTCCCCTTCCCAAAAGACTAGAACACACTGTCACTAGCCTTCTTAGGCAATTCTATGGCAAACAAGTGAATTAATGTGTTGCTGCTAGAGGCCTTAAAGAATTTCCAAGATGAGTAGATAACAGAACGCACTGCTGACCGTGTTGAGAAAGTACAGAAAAAACATATATGGGATATTTTTTATATGAATAAAGCTCAACTCCTTAAGTTCGTTTGACATTTAACTTAAGCTGAATGTAGCCAGGATTCTCTATTACACTTACCCGTTGTTGGTGAACAATGTTTTTGTGCTCACGTGCCACACGTGTGGCCCATTTCCGAGCTTCCTTATTGAGACTGTGCTCCTCTGTGGTCCCAGTTTCTGACTCTAATTGTCGGCTCTACAACATAGGAGAGAACAGAGAGAAAAGCATTGCTATCCTTATTGCAACCACCATCACTTTCCAGTTGGACCAGAGGAGTCTTCACTTAATCAGTGCTCAAAACACAAAGCATGCTCCACTACTGTCGGAAGCAATGTCTCGTGTCACAGAAAGTCAGCAGAAGACAAAGATGACAGTATGAAACCATAAATGAACACAGGCTTCTTGTCTTAACATTGCTGAACATGAAAGCTTTATCTCTAATACTGTGGACTGATCTTTGGGTATAAAGGAAACTAAGGTAAGAAAAGAAGAAAAAAGTATTCATGCCAACCTACTAAATGACGCTAAAATCATTGCATAGATAAAAATGGAAACAATAGTTTCAATGTGATTAAATAATTATTGAATAGAAGTGAAAAGAACAAAACAATATGTTAACAGCAACACAATCCTCTCTTCTCCCCTATCCCAAAATGCTGGGCTTTATTTAGTTAGAGGACATCACCAACTTTCTACCAAACCTCAAATTCGTTTTTACCCTAGTTTGTCTGGGATTTAATGTCCTCATATAAAAGATAAGGGTGCTAGATCAAATGATCACTACGGGTCTCTTCTAGCTCTAAAATGCTATGATTCTGTTTCACAAAGAACAAATTGTAAAATCTAAATAAATTGTAGTAATAGTTAACCTCTATTGTGCAAGGTACTATGGAAAGTGCCTCACATAACTTTTATAACAACCTTATGATGTGAGTCACGCACCATTTTATGGAAAAGGAAACCAAGGCTCAGAGAGGGTAAGAAATTTTTCCAGTGTCTCCCAAATATTGTGTTAAACATCAATTAAACAAGTCTGATTCTAGAATCAGGGCTATTAACCACTAACCTATTTTTTTTGAGACAGAGTCTCACTTTGTTGCCCAGGCTAGAGTGAGTGCCGTGGCATCAGCCTAGCTCACAGCAACTTCAAACTCCTGGGCTCAAGCAATCCTGCTGCCTTAGCCTCCTGAGTAGCTGGGACTACAGGCATGCGCCACCATGCCCGGCTAATTTTTTCTATATATATTAGTTGGCCAATTAATTTCTTTCTATTTATAGTAGAGACAGGGTCTCGCTCTTACTCAGGCTGGTTTCAAACTCCTGACGTTGAAGCAATCCGCCCGCCTCGGCCTCCCAGAGTGCTAGAATTACAGGCGTGAGCTACTGTGCCTGGCCCCACTAACCTATTTTAATTCTCTCTAAACTCTCAAGAACCTATGAAAAAAACTTTATTAAAATTAATTAGGAAAGAAAATTTCTTAAATATGAATTATCCAAAGAGGATTTTTTAATATAAAAATCCAAATTTTAAAATTAAAAGAATTTTAGAAATTCTTTTGCTAGGTCACATAGCTCAAAATTGATGATATAAGCAGAATCTGCTAAACTAAATTTAAAAATCAATATTTTTGTTGGGGGACTGTGATGAGGCAAAGTTCAAAAATTTTTGCTCTATGCAGACATTTCTGTTAAAGCTAGATTATATACATGACAAAGCTAGATTATAACAATGACAAATTAGCTAAAATAGAGCAAAATAATAAAATTTCTAATCTAACTAACTTCTAATTCATTCTTGGGGTTATTATGAATCTGGGAATCAACTTTATTATTATATTTGGCTTTGCAAATGGATCTGGGCATTCAAATTTATATCTGTTCTCAGAAGCCAGGGACATTAAAATGTTAAACCCTGAATACAGATGGAAATAAAATGAACAATAGCCAGAGGAATCTGATGTGTAAAGTAGAAAGATATACTCTGAAAAGTTCAGGAATAGGCTTTTGAGTCACATAGACTTAGTTTTGAATCTACTCTATGCCATTTATTAGCTTTATGATTGTTGGTATGTTAATATGAGTTTTAGCTAAATCTGAAAATGGTGAAAATGCTACCTATCATTTTAAAAATTCTGGCATTGTATCTACATATATTAAGTATCCAATAATAGTAATTGTTAATGTTAAAGACCCAGTTGAGGCCAGGCATGGTGATCTGCACCTGTAATCCTAGCACTCTGGGAGGCGGAGGCGGGCAGATCATTTGCACTCAGGAGTTCGAGACCAGCCTGAGCAAAGGCGAGACCCCGTTTCTACTAAAAATAGAAGAAATTTGCCACACAACTAAAAATATATAGAAAAAATTAGCAAGGCATGGTGACGCATGCCTGTAGTCCCAGCTACTTGGGAGGCTAAGGCAGGAGGATTGCTTCAGCCCAGGAGTTTGAGGTTGCTGTAAGCTAGGCTGATGCCACGGCACTCTAGCCCAGGCAAGAGAGTGAGACTCTGTCTCAAAAAAAGGAGAAACGACCCAGTTGAAAATTACTTGAAACAAAAAATTTCTCATTACTGTTCATGAAAAATCCAGACAATTACTGAAGAAACCAAAACAAGACTGAAGCTACACTGAATGATTAAGGCAGACCTCAAAAAAAAAAAAAAAAAGAAATATTTATAGGGAGTAGATAGATAAGAAAGGAGGAAACTGACAAAAAAATTTAATTTTATTACAGAGCAGCATTTCAGGAACAAGTAATCGGGTTTAGATGTGTGCTGGGAGACAGGCCATAACCCACTTGCCACGCAGAATCTCTACCTTTTTATTGACTATTCACTGTGCTTAAGAGCTGGGTAAATTAAGGTAGGGATTTTCTACCATTCTCTATGGGTTTACTATTACTTAGACAGGAGTTCCCCATGATCAGGACAGATAAATGCCACTAATTAGAAGACATGGCTTTGAGATCCTCTGGGTGGGGAATGACACATAATTAAAATTCAAATTAATTTACCCTTTTCACGAATTCTAAAATCAAGCCATGGAAGACATGTAGAAGCTCCTATAAGATAAGTCTTGACAACTGAGAATTTCATAGAAAGCAAAATACAGCTCAGGTCATTAAACAATACATAGAGAAATGTTCTAATGCCCTTTCCACTATCTAAGATCAACATAAATCAGGACATGACTTCTCCATTGTACAACATCAGTGTGAATCTCTAACACCAGTATAATCCTTGTGATAGCTGGATGACTCCCCAACATTGAGATCCTAATAAATATACTTGTCAGTTCTCCCTCACAGAATATCCTTTTTGGTGGAAGGAGGCCACATTTTAGGGTATATTCCATATCCTCCTTAGAATAACTCTGCATTAAAAATACATTTAAGCAAAGAAAGGTGAAATTTACTCTTTCTAGAAGGATTTCTGATTTTCTGGTATTATCTGAGAAATGGTATTTGAGCATATAAGGAAAGGATACTTTAGAAAGCAATAACTCTATATGGAAATACAGACAAGGGAATCTTTTTTTAATATTAACCATGAGACAGCTACTAAGTTACTATAGCAGACAAAATCTGCCATTGGTTACTGTTACATGTAATCATCATATGGTTAATTCTAAAATTGCTGATTTTGTGGCTGTAGAGAACAGACATACTTGTGATGTTATAAAACCATTTTGACATAATTCTATTTCCTTTTGATACATCATTCTATTTCTTATTTTTTATACTTTTCTTGTTTAATTAATTGTTTTTAGAGACAGAATCTTGCTCTGTCTCCCAGGCTGGAGTGCAGTGGTGTCTCACTCTGTTGCCCAGGCTAGAGTACAGTGGCATCATCATAGCTCAATGCAACTTCAAATTCCTGAGCTCAAGTGATTCTCCTGCGTCAGCCTCCCGAGACTCTGGAATTACAGGCATGAGCTACCATGCCTGGCCTAGAATATCATTCTAAAGTATGAGTCAAAATAGTCATCTAGAGTTCTTTTCTGGCCTGGCCAGTGGATTGTACAGGCCTAACCTTTGGCTTCATTAAAAACTATGCTTAGTAGTATTGGAAGTAATTTGGGTATTCTCTTCCTTGTATTATGTTTTGTGCTCTTAATCTACAGGTGCTGGAAAAAGAGGCAAGCAACTCAGTGATAGCAAAGACAAAACATCATGGCTGTGTTCCAGCTGTTTGCCTTCAAAATTAAATAAAATAGGGGGAGATGTAAGGGACTGACATATATTTTCCCAGTTTACAAATTAAAGTTAGTGAGTAATGTACGTGTTCTGCCCAGAATGTTTGAAAGTAATCTGTTCCAGACAAGGTCCTTATGATAAACAAGGTTGTTGCCTAGAGGCATAACAAAGGACCTGAGTTGCAAGTAAGCAAGACCCCGCCCACAGCATTGGGGGGTCTGGAGCCCACATGATAAACAACTGTTCTTGTGATTGCTGTGTACACCCCATAAGATGGCTGGTTAGTCAATGAGGGGTAAGACCCCTCAAGGGAGGGGTGACCTAAGCCAGGCACAGATCTTAGGGGTCACCCTAAAATAAGCTGGGGATGAGGGGTCACCTTAAGATAAGTTGGGGATGAGAAATGCCCCCTGTGGCTCACCTTGCCCATCCTTGCTAATCTCGGTCCGTGATCTATGCCTAGTGCCTAGAGCAACCACCTTGAAATTCTGAGTTAGGGGATATCTGCTTCCCTAAGGCTACACATTCCGGAATTTATGGCTATCCCTGCCACACCTGGGTGGTTACATACAAGGAACTAACTTTAATCTTTTAGAGTATAAAAATAAAACTGACCTGGTGTATTATTACTGGAGTTAACCGTCAAAAAAAAAAAAATAGTCATCTATTGGCAAGGCATGGTGGACCATGTCTGTAATCCCAGCACTTTGGGAGGCGAGGTGGGAGGAATACTTGAGGCTACAAGTTCGAGACCAGCCTGGGCAATAAGTTCAAGACCAGTCTAGGCCACAATGGTGCAATCCTTTCTCTATAAAAAAATTTAAAGACTAGCTGGGTGTGATGGCGTGTGCTTGCAGTCCCAGCTACTTGGGAGGCTAAGGTGGGAGGATGGCTTAAGCTCAGGAATTTGAGGCTGCAGTGAGCTATGATCATACCATTGCACTCTAGCCTGGGTGACAGAAGAAGACTCTGTCTCAAAAAAAAAATCATATATTAAGATAAAATGAAAAGGAATTTTCATTTTCAGCAGAAATAAAAGATAAGCCAAAAATATATAGTAATTCTAAGCCTTAATTAAATTCCTATGGTAATATTGTGACTATACATATTCAATTGGACATTTTGGACTTTTATAGGAAAAATGTTACAATTTGAAATGGGATACATTAACAAATTTTTTTTAAATTTGAAGATGAGCATATGAAAATCTTTAGAAGAAAATAAGAATTATATTTTATCATAGTATTAGGTTTAAAAGTCCTATAAACTTTCCTAAATATATCTTACCTAAATTTAGATAACCCAAAGGCATATACAAAGGTATATAAGTACCTACTGTGTAAATGGAAAATGAATGTTTAACTCATAAGCGGTTCAAAATTCCTAATTAAAATTATAAAATTCAAAATAAAATTAAGGAACAATACTGTCCTGCCTCTGCAATGAATCCCATCATTACTCTCCTACCTAAATACATACTTCTCCATCTGCCATCATATATAAAACTCAAACAAAATCTGGTTGCAACCTACATTTATGGTATTGTTTAGCTTCTCTTTCATTACCCCAAGATTACTTGCCATTTCACATATAGGTTGTATACTTACCAGCTGAGTGACTTTGAATAAATTTCTTAACCTTAGTTTCCTCAACTGTAAAATGGGAATTAAAAATAATACCTACAATAGTCTTGAAGATAAAATGAGTTAATATAGGTAATATGATTGGGAAAATGTCAAGCATGAAATAAGTGTTCAATGAATGCCATCTATTTCAATTGTCATTTTCATTTCCTGGCATGTTGTTTCTCAATCTCTGCTGAGTAAACTTCAATTCACCTTCAGGATCTAATCCATAACATGAAAACACAATCCAATCAAAAAATAGCAAAAGATCTGAATAGATATTTTACTGAAGTAGATATAGAATGGTGACTAAGTTTATGAAAAGATATATACTCAACATCATCCTTAGTCATTAGGGAAATACAAATCAAAACCACAAGAGATATTGTATCATACCCACTAGGATGGCTATAATCAAAGAGCCAGACAATAACAAATGGTGAGGATGTAGAGAAACAAGAACCCTACTACAATGCTGGTAGAAATGTAAAATGATACAGTCACTTTGGCAAACAGTTTGCCAGTTTCCTAAAAAGTTAAACATAAATTTACCATATGACCCAGCAACTCAAGAGAAATGAAAACACATTCATATCAAGGCTTGCCCAGAAATGTTCATAATAGAATTATTCTTAAGAGCCCAAAGTGGGAAACAACCTAAATGTCTATCAATTGATGAACAGGGAGACGAAATGTGGTAAACACATACAATGGAATACTAATCAGCAATAAAAAGAAACAAACTATTGATGTTTACAACATGGACGAATCTCAAAAACATTACACTAAGTGAAATAAGCAAGACATTAAGGGCTACATATTGTAAGATTCAAATTATATAAAATGTCTAGAACAGGCAAATCTGTAGAAAGTAGATTAGTGGTAACCTATGGCGAGGGGTGGGAATGGAGACTAAAAGTAAATAGACATGAGGAATCTTACTGGGGTCATGAAAATGTTCTAAAATTTATTTAGGAAGATAGTTGCACACTTTGGTAAATTTACTAAAAATCACTGAATACACAAGAAATGGGTGAATTATATGATATGAAATATGCCTCAATAACGTAAAATATAGCACCACATCTGGATGCACTGACTGTACCAATCACACTCTTATCACATACAACACACAACTAACTGCATTTTACTTATCTGTCAACATGTCAGTGAGCTCATCTAGTTTGGGGTCTGCAGTTTGGTGTGCAGTAGCTATTCTCAGCATCTATCTGAGTGATTGGCACATGCACTAAGAGTTCACTGTTTGTTAAATTGAAATATGCTTCAAAACAGGATAGGAACAATAGCAACTTCAGAAAGACAACTGAAGATACAGGTGTTTAGTTCATCCTACATGTCCGAGGTTCACCTGGCAGGAAAAGTGAATTAATTGGCATTGACTGTTGCTCTCCACGCCATGATAGGAGTTGGCTACCAACTCCATGAAGAAACTAAAAGCAAATAAATAATGGCTCTATTCTCACAAAGAACAGTACTAATCTAACTGTGTAAAAATAATTATTTGGGATTTTATTCTTTGTGGGCAGACAGAATAGTTAATTTATAGTAAAACAAAAATTACACACAAAAATATTTTGTAGTTAAAAAGATTTTCAAAATCATTAAAGACTTTTTCAATGGTAGATAATCTAGAATGATTTTTATAAAAGCATTAAGCATTTATCTTTTTCCATTATGAAAAAACTAATTGCTCCTCAAGTGCTGAATATTTCTTCTCAGAAAACAGAATAGCATAGCAGAAACAACATTAAAATTGCAATCACAACAGTAACTTATCATTCATTTACTATATAACTCTGGACAAGTCTTTCTTCCTGTCTAGGCTACAGTTTCCCCTTTAATAAAGACAAGGCTAGCCCTGAGGTTCTTTCCAGCACTCCTGTTGAAGTAAAATAAGATGCTTCAGACAAGATGAAAAATGAGCAGCTCAATCTCTTCACTATAAACAGGAAAGGAAATTCCTAATTCATAAGGGAAAACAGAAAGCCACAGCTGATGCATGCAGTGGCCTAACACCAGGTCCCACCCTCCATTAACATGCGAACCCACCCCTCCCCCCTTAGCCCACACCCCATATACCTCAGCTATGGTCATTCTCAGAGCACTGACAGGGGAGAGCTCAATGTCCACCAGTTGGGCGGCTTTTAAACTCTGCCCAGTAAAGATTGCACAAGGACAGAAAACATAGCATAGAGTTAGAATTTTAAGGCAACAGCTAAGAACACTGTCTAGAAACACACAGCATCTAAAAACAAAGAAGCATTTAGGGCTGTAGTTGAGCCTTGCAAAGGTAAGATGAGAGTCACCGTTACTCTTATTTTCCTTGTGGAAAATGGCAAAGATAAAATCATCTTAAATTAGTCACCATTTTAAGCCAAGCTTGACAAACTTGTCCATACCCTGTATCTTCTAACGCTCTACTTCATTCCTCCCAGGCTTCATAGCAGTCAAGTTACAGAACAATGTGACTGAGTCATAGCAAAAGCTGATAGATAAAAAAGGGCCAGGGTTATGCTGATTCCACATTTCTTTATAGTCACTAATAGGGCTGCTTAAAATGCAAGAGAAGTAATGAACATATCTCCAGCAAGTGTATTTCTATTAAACTGACACCATTAAACTATGAAACTATATCATTGAGAGAATGTGCTAGTAAAGCCAACACATGCCTTCTCATTTTGTGGAATTTCATTTTTTTTATGTTATTAAATTAGCCTTTTGGTTCTTTTTTTAAAATCCAAATAATGACAAACATTTCTCACAGAGCAAACCAAAACTCAAGGACAAAAATATATGCTTTTTAAAAACAGCCAATTTGAGGTTTATGTTGGTACTTTAACATTCGAAGAAATCTGAAAGGAATTATGAAGGGCCTATAATTTTTTATAAGGCCAACCAAAATATCTGCGTGTACATATTCATTATTCCATTTATTAATTCTATTCTGGTTAAAATTTAACCACTGTTTTTCTTGGAATAGTGCAACATGACGAATTTGATGAATAGAAAGTATATATGAATAAATACATTGAATATTTTTCTTCTTTCCTCAGTTGTTTTCAGATTTTCAGTAACTTATAACTTAACCTCATTTAGTAGAAAGTTGTTAGCATAAAGCCTATGATATGGTGGGTGTATTAGCCACATTTTAGAAAAAAGAAATGACATAGTTTCTCTGCATCCTAACATTTGTTTTGGTTTTTTGGATACAGAGTTTCACTCTGTTGCCCTGGCTAGAGTGCAGAGTGCAGTGGCATCAACCTAGCTCACAGCAACCTTAAATTACTGGGCTCAAGCAATCCTCCTGCCTCAGCCTCCCAAGTAGCTGGGACTACAGGCATGCACCACTATGCCCAGCTAAATTTTTAAGAAACTTTTTTTTGTAGAGACAGGGTCTCACTATGTTGCTCAGGCTGGTCTTGAACTCCTGTCCTCCTGTCTCAGCCTCCTAAAGTGCTAGGATTACAGACGTGAGCCACAGCACTTGGCCATACTTAGCTTTTTCTGTCTATTCCAAGGATAATTGTTATTGAACAGAAACACAAATGAACAGCAAATGAAATGAAAACCTGGAATTCTCTTACAGTATCACTGTCACAAGGCTGGAACTGGAAGGGCTGGGGTTTGTGAAATACAGCATTCTCTTGTAAAAACAGTTGAAGATTATAGTCCCGTACCACCTAAAGAGAAAATAAAATATCTTTAGGTCTTTAATAAGCTTAAAATGTCCAGTAATTACATTCTAAAGTTTAAGATTTATTATTCTATATTCTATACAAATGAAAAATCATCCCATACTATGTGGTAAAAAAGAAATGATAATGTTACACGTTTTATTTTTCATTTTAGAGTGACAGTAATTACATACATGTTCTATTTTCTCAAGAATCTAAATTTGGAAAGTAATAGTTTAGAAACTATCTCAGATTTGGGGATTGGACAATATGCAACATTTTATGATGACAAGAAGACAGTTATTACACAAAAAGCTATTGTTTGTAATGGAAGAGGGGGAATAGGAAAGAACATTGGTCTTTCTGGTCTCTCCCGGCTCTCTCAGTTTTATGGGCCTCTTACAGTTTGTTTTACAGTGATTGCTATCCACTAGGAAACTGCCAGATAATCCCATAGCACAATATAGTATTTTTAGAGTACTTCTTGGCACCTTTTTGAGGAGGTTACATACTAATTACCATCTTAAAACATATCAAGAAGATAGAACAGAAAGGAATTTTCATATAAGGAGAATTCTGACACACAGAAAGCCAGCTAGCTAAAAAAAATTCATTGCATTATATACCCTTGGAAAGAGTGTAAATCAACAATATTTGAATATGCAAAAACCTACTTTTTTTTTTTTAAGTTTGTTTTTTTTTTTATTTCAGCATATTATGGGGATACAGATTTTAAGGTTTCAATAAATGCCCATTTCCCCCCCCTTCCCCCAAAAGTCTGAGTCTCCATCATGACCATCCCACAGATGGTGCACATCTCACTCATTATGTATGTATATACCCGCCCCCTCCCCCTTCCCACCTGCCCAATACCCTATTACTGTAGTACCTATGTGTCCACTTAGGTGCTACTCAGTTAATACCAGAAAAACCTACTTTTTATTTTGCTACATTGCCCAACCTTTATTCATCTTTTATTTGCAGTACATTATAGTTCATTAGCACCTTTGCCAGAGGATGGGCAGGAAAAAGGTCAAAGTAGTTCTGTGGCGTTACTTTAGTAGTCCTGGGAAAAGGGATTATTGAGGAGTTACAGAAAGTAGTAGGTGTTATTTTGCATTTTATTTACCACCGCAATTCTAGTTCTCTATTGCTTTCCTTTCCCTCACTCAACCAGCTCCAGTGTTAAACTCAGGGGTGAGGGGATATATAGCTGAGTAAGATGAACAAACAAGGTTACTATCTGTAAGGAATTGATTAATATAATCTGGAAACTGGGGTGACCAAACAAGCTACACAATTCAAGTACACTATGGAAGCATGTAGAGGGTAGGAGGAGAGAACAAGGTGGTGATAGTTAATGAGACTGAAGTGTGAGATAAGAAGTCATTGGAAGAATTTGGTCAGGGAAGGCTGGCTGAGTAAACATATTCTCAAAGGGAAATGTGTTTTATTCTCTTCTCCGATTCTAGTTTTAAACTACAGTAGCGATGAAAGCTCATTATACAGCCCTCAGAGCCTCACTAATCACCATGCAGAAAAGCTAAGAGGAGCACCCCTTTAGTTGCCAAACCTATCCTCCAGCACTAAAAACTTTTTCTTGAGACTCTGCCTCAAAACAACAACAATAACAACAAACCCCCCAAACCAAAAAAACAATGGTATAATATATTCTCATGTTCTCATCACCTAATTTCCAAAACATCCTCTCATCAAAAACATCCCCTTAAGGCCAATCTTGTTTTACCTATAAATCCATCTACCTCTTTCACCCCTAATTCTATAGAAGCAAGTCCTAGACATGTAATTTCATCCACAAATATTTCAGTATGATATCTAAAAGACACGGGCTCTTTTAAGAAAACATATCCATATTAAAATTACAATACTTGCAAAGCAACCAATAAGTATTCAAGTTTCCCTGATTGTTTCCTTTTTTAAAAAAAAGTTTTTCAAATCGGGATCCAAATAAAGCCCCCACGGTACAACTGGATGGTGGTGGTGTTATTTAGGTTTCTTTTCATATATATGGTTCTTCATCCCATTGTAATTTTTTATCCCCTATAATGTAATTGCTGAAGAAACTGGGTTTTTGTTCTATAGAGATTCCTACAGTCTAAATTTTGTTGACTGCATTCAGTTTCCTGTATCTTCTATATACTGGTATTTGGATCTAGAGCCTTCATTGGATTTAGGGGGTTTTGTTTTGTTTTTGGTTTTGTTTGCTTGGCTTGTTTTTTGTTTTGTTTTGTTTTTTTGAGACAGAGTCTCATACTCTGTTGCACAGGCTAGAGTGCTGTTGAGTTAGCGTAGCTCACAGCAATCTTAAACTCCTGGGTTCAAGCAATCCTTCTGCCTCAGCCTCCCAAGTAGCTGGGACTACAGGCATGCGCCACCATGCCCAGCTAATTTTTTCTATATATTTTTAGTTGTCCAGCTAATTTCTTTCTATTTTTTTTAGTAGAGATGGGGTCTCACTCTTGCTCAAGCTGGTTTTGAAATCCTGAGCTCAAACAATCCTCCCGCCTCAGCCTCCCAAAGTGCTAGGATTACAGGCATCAGCCACTGTGCCCAGGCCAAAAGCAAATTTTAATTGCTACTGGGTTCTGGTAGAGTTTTTAAAAAAAGAAACAACATGAGTCACCAGCCAGGCCAGATTTTTTTTTTTTTTTGGCAAGGTGATATAACAGTAGTAATGGGCTGAATGGTAGTCCCCAACACCCAAAAAGATATGTCCATGTCTTAATTCTCAAAACCTGTGAATGTTACTGTATTTGGAAAAGAGAACTTTGAAAATGTAATAAAGTCAAAGATTTTGAGATAAGGAGATCATCCTAGATTACCTGGGTGGGCCCTAAACTCAATGATAAGTGTTCTTATAAAAGCTACCAGTTTATGGTAACATGTTACCGCAGCCCTAGGAAACTAATGAAACAACCTTTGATGATAAATGCCTAAATTCACTGGTGTTGCAAAAATAGAGATTTTTCGAATTCTATCATTTCCTTTGCATTTATTAGCTGAGATACTTCTATAAAAGAAACTTTTCCAAGTCAACTATTTATTTACTTTGAGGTGCAGTTTAGGTACCTTGAGTTACAGTTTGTATAAGCAAGGGATGATAAATGCTAATTCTTTTCTTTATTATCTAGTTTTCAAATTGAGTTGTTTCCCTAGCAACCTCCAATGAATGACCAATCACAGGTTTAATAAACTATTACTATGAAGTTATGGATGAAAAAATATTCAATGTGTATTTTTACAATTGTATAAATTTCCTGCATTATTAAATTATTAAAGCTCAAATTTTTTCTAACATACCACTTGGTAGCAATCCACTAAGTTTTAATACTATAAATGTACTGTATATATATTTATGTACTGTGAGCCCACTGTAATATCGAAGGTTTTTTTGTACCCCTCCCCATCTGGAAGCAATTTTTACTTCCTTGGGGGTGATATCACTCTTGTTGAGAATACAGGCCCTACATGTATTACCCTCCTGAATTCTGTGTTTGTCATTCTCCTTTTTCTTTTTTTTTGTTAATAGTATTACTACATCTGATATACTTCAAAATGAGACAGTTTTCTTGGATATTTTTGAACTTTGTATAAATGGCATCTTTCTGTATTTACCTACAACTTGCTTTTTTTTGCTCATTTGTGAGTTTCATCCATATTAATGTATGTGCTTATAGATCTTTCATTTTTACTGCTGTATGGTAGTCTCTATTATTCATCCTACTGTCAGTTGGGTTTTTTCTAGCTCTTTCCTCTTACAAAGAAAGCTGCTATGAATATTCTTCTTAAAGTTTCCTGGAACACATGTGCAAGAGTTTCTCTAGGACATACATATACCTAGAAGTGGAACTGCCAGGTCAGAAAGTAAGTACATTTTTTACATAATGCCAAATGTTTTTTTTTGTTTTTTTTTTTTTGAGGCAGAGTCTCGCTTTGTTACCCAGGCTAGAGTGAGTGCCATGGTGTCAGCCTAGCTCACAGCAACCTCAAACTCCTGGGCTCAAGCAATCCTACTGCTTCAGCCTCCCGAGTAGCTGAGACTAAAGGCATGCGCCACCATGCCTGGCTAATTTTTTCTATATATATTAGTTGGCCAATTAATTTCTTTCTATTTATAGTAGAGACGGGGTCTCGCTCTTGCTCAGGCTGGTTTCGAACTCCTGACCTTGAGCAATCCACCGGCCTCGGCATCCCAGAGTGCTAGGATTACAGGCGTGAGCCACTGCACCCGGCCAATGCCAAATGTCTTGAAACTGGATGTACCAATTCGTACCCCTCAGGATAGCATATGAGTTTCTGTTAATCCATATTCTCACAATGCTCATTCCTATCTGTCTTTATTTTGTCAAGCTCATGCATGTAAAAAGCAATCTCATGGTAGCTTCAATTTCTATTTCCTTGATTATTAATGAGTACTGGGGTGGCTTATATATCAGAAATTTATTTCTTCACAGTTCTGGAGGCTAGAAGTGCAGATCAAGGTGTTGGCAGGGCTGATTTCTTCTGACAGTAATTCTTCTTGGCTTGTAGTTGGCCACCTTCTTCTGGTATCTTCACAGTCGTCTTCCCTCTGTGCCTGTTATGTTCCAATCTCCTCTTTTTATAAGAACACTAGTCATACTGGATTAAGGCCCACCTATATGACCTTATTTTACCTTAATTACCTCTTTAAAGAGCCTATCTCCAAATACAGTCACATTCTAAAGTACTAGGGTTCAATTCTTCAACAAATGAATTTTGGAGGGGACACAATTCAGCCCTTACCAATACCTTTTTATATGGTAATGACTATATTTTTTATTCTGTGAGATGCATGTTGTATAATGTATTGGTAATTCATTCCCCTTTATAGGTGAATAATATTCCATTGTATGGATATACCATATTTTATTTATCCAGTCATCTGTTGATGGACATTTGGGTTGTTTCCACTTTTTGGTTATTATGAATAATAATGCTACTGTGAACACTCATGTACAAATTTT